AAATGTGATACAGGTTTAATATTCCTTATCCAAAATGCTTTGAATCAGAAATGTTTTCGATTTTGGATTTTTTTTTTTTAATACTCACACTTACCAGTTGAACATCCCTAATCTGAACATCCAAATCCAAAATACTCCAATGAGCATTTCCTTTTAGCATCATCTTGGCACTCAGATTTTAGGGCATTTCAGATTTCATATTTTCAGATTAAAGATAACCCATATCAACTATGTACAACATATTAAGACATGTGTACTAAATGCATCACAATGTCTGGATTTTTATAACAGGTTACAGGAATACTTAAAGATGCTGGAGTAAACAATTTAACAATTCAAGTGGAAAAGGAGGCATACTTTCAACATATGTCTGGCCTAAGTACTGGATTTCATGATGTTCTGGCTATGACAAAACAAATGGAGTCCATGAAATACTGCAAAGATGGTACTTACATCATGTGAGATAACTCATGAATTGCCCCTGGAGTATGAACAATCAAGATTAAATGACTCAGTATTTGTAATATTGCCAGAAGGATAAAAATTACACATGACTGTACAGAAACAGAGTTCCCTACTACTGATCAAGAAATCTTTCTTAAAGGAAATTTAAATATAGAATGAAGCATTAATGGTACAAGTGGAGTAATTATTTGAATTATGTATATAAAAGGAATGAGATTTTGAGTAAACATGATGTATCACATCATCTTCAAAAATAGATATGATGGATTCGGTGAAGACCAAAATTACTTCTGTTTACTTTCTATCAGAAAGCATCTCCATTGTAAATATGTATTTACATGTTTATTACAAAGACCCAAATGAAAAATTTTTAGTCCATTTTTTGCATAGCCTAAAGATAAAATAGGAATAAAAGTTCTATATTTATGGATTTTCTGTATATAAAACTGGTTTCTAATTATAACTTAAATCCATTAAGTAATATCTGTATTGCCACTTCAAATGTAAACTAAAATATTTGGGAGAAACTTCAACCACTGATATGAGATAAGAAGTGAGAATAGGGAAATGTATAACATCACAGTTTTTTGATGTATTACAAAAACCACTCTCTAAAATAAATTTTTTTTTACTTTTGGTAATATTTGCAAATGAATAATTAATTTATTAGGGTAAATGACTATACTAAGTTGTGTCCATGTTATTCATTCACTTATGTTAAGGTAGAATATTTCATTTCTTCTTATACATTTGGCATTTCAAGCTGCTTATCAGGCTGGTATCCAAGCAGTTTTGTAAACTTTCATCTTTTCTTAGCTCCATAATGTTGTGAAACAGCCAGTTAAGAGAATTGTAAACAATTGTCAACTCACAGTTGAATTATCTGCCCATGTAGATAACTTTTTCTAATTTCTGGAACACATAGACATATAAGAAATATCAAAGAATAGGTAATTATTTCAAAGTTTAGTAAGTAAAACTTGTCCATAAACATTTGAGCACCATGAAATCAAAATACCCTATAACTACTTTCTATAGTCATATCTAATTTATATTTTTTTCATTTCCAGTTGTAACTAGGTATGTAGTAAACTCTGAAAAGACTTTACAATAAATAGATAATAACATGCAGTTTTATGAGCACCAAAGAATGTTGTCCAAAAGAAACTTTTAAATACCTGTCTTTATAGCCACCTGAATATGTTCATTCTTATATTAAGAATTTTGATAAATAGGTCGAATTTAGTATGAGTACTATTTTCTTATATATATACCACAAAGGCAAACGTATTATAAATCATATTTTTGTCTTACCAATTTTAATACATGAGCGGTTTTACAAATTTGTTGTAAGTTATTTTTATATTCCTTGTCTTCTCTTTGCACATCTTTTGGCCAAAATCTTCAATACATATTAAAATTTTTGAGTGGTGGGAAAATAATTGCATATTGATGTTTTAATGCAATTTTTCTACATTAAAAAAATTTTAAGTAGATAGGTGCAATAAATATTATACCAGTTAAAATTGTCATTTCCCTTATAAGAAGACATATAAGGAGCAAAAAAAAAAATAATATGAGTATGAGATATTAGCGTGAGAGAGAGGGTGGGGCTGAAGGTTAGGGAGGTGCAGTTAGAAAGTATGGAAACTCTAATATTGAAAGCACCAGGGTACTGTGTTTCAGCTCATGCCAACCATGTAACTAGACCAGGTGCAGTGTCTCATGCCTGAAACCTGGCACTTAGGGAAGCTAAAGCGAAACAATAGCTTGAGCCCAGGAGTTTTGAGAACAGCCTGAGCAACATAACAAGACTCCATCTCTACAAAATTTTTTTAAATCAGCTGGGGCGTGGTGGCACACACCTCTTGTGAGGCTGAGGCAGGAGGATTGCTTGAGTCTGGGAGGACAAGGCTGCAGTGAGCTGTGATGACACCACTGCTCTCCAGCCTGAGTGACAGCAAGATCCCATTTCAAAAAAAAAAAAAATTGAGGCAACTTTAGGCAAATCAGCGTCTCGGAGTTATCTTTTATTTTTCCTCATATCGCTTCTCAGCCTTTTGGCTAAGATCAAGTGTATTTTTCCTCATACATAAACTAAATAAAACCTGCTCAAATCTACTTTACAGAATTCGGGAACAAAAGGTATAATGTATGTGAAAATGCACTGGAAGATGAAAAAGTCTAAAAGTTTAAGAATTGTTATTATTTTAAGCCTGACTTCAAAGGTAGCCATCATTAATTTGTCTCTTTTTTTCCTATAAATTAGCATCTCAAGAGATTAATTAGATGTTTAATGTATAAGTAAGTTTACAGTAATGCCCAAACAGAAGCCTATTGTGAGGGAGAAGAGTTTGGGTTTCTTTTAGAGACAGGGTCTCACTCTTTAACCCAGGCTGGAGTGCAGCGACATGATCATAGCTCACTGTAGCCTTGAACTCCTGAGCTCAAGAAATCCTCCTACCTCAACCTTTCCAGTAGGTAGGACTGCAAATGCACATCACCTCGCCCAGCTAATTTATTATTTGTTTGTAGAGATAAGGTCTCACCATGTTGCCCATGCAAGTCTTGAACTCCCAAGCACAAATGATCCTCCTGCCTTTTCTTCCCTAAGTGTTAGGATTATAGGCATGAGCCACTGCACTTGACCCAGAAGCCTAATAGTTCATTTGCCCCAAGAAAGGTGATGGTGGTTATTTACCACACCTATTAATTTATCATCTTTCTTCCCCTTCTTCCAACCATTGTTTTCTATTATTACCAATTTGGGAGCTCATGATGTAGACTTAGAATAAATTTTACATCTTTTATAATATAAATTTATTGTTTCTTTAACATGGTAACTGATCAAGGCCGAGCACAGTGGCTTACACCTATAATCCCAGCACTTTGGGAAGCTTAGGCAGGAGGATCACCTGAGCCCAGGAGTTCGAGACCAGCCTGAGTGACATAGAGAGCTCCCCATCTCTTAAAAAAAAACAGAAATAATCAAACTGTAAACTTCTCTAATTTCGTCTGAAAAATAACAAAGCTACATAATTAGATATTTCTAACCAAAGAATCCTGGTTTTACTTTACATTATTATTATCCCCTAAAATGCCTAGTAATGCAGAGATGTGTGTTTTTACTAGTTAATAGTCTCATGAGGCTAGGCACAGTGGCTCACATCTGTAATCCCAGCACTTTGGGAGGCTGAGGCAGGTGAATCACCTGAGGTCAAGAGTTTGAAACCAGCCTGGCCAAAGTAATGAAACCCCATCTTTACTAAATATGCAAAAATTAGCTGAGCATTGCGGCAGGCACCTATAATCCCATCTACTTGGGAGGCTGAGGCAGGAGAATCGCTTGAACCCAGGAGGTGGAGGTTGCAGTGAGCCAAGATCACACCACTGCATTCCAGCCAGGGTGACAGAGCAAGACTCTGTCTCAAAAAAATAGTCATATGGACAAAAAAAAAAAAAAAAAAAAAAAAAAAAAAAAAAANAAAAAAAAAAAAAAAAAAAAAAAAAAAAAAAAAAAAAAAAAAAAAAAAAAAAAAAAAAAAAAAAAAAGACAATAGTCTTATGAACAAAAAATAAAAATTCATAAGAGTAAATGGCATAAAGACTTCCACCTCTTTCACTCACGTACACAGCTCTCCTCTCTGGAAACGACCATTCTTGTCAATTTCTAGACTATCTTTCCAGATATTATATCCATATACAAGAAAATATGTGTGTATTATTTTTCACTTAGAAATTATTCCATAATTAAAACAGTAAAAAGCATCAGCATTCTTTTTTTAGCTGCCTATTAACCCCATTGATGGATTTTTTTTTAAGATTAGTTCTAATCTTTTGCTATTCTAGACAATACTAATAGGAATAACCGTATACAGATATCATTTTGAATGTGTGCAAATATTTAGGATAAGTTTCTACAAGTGGAATTTCAGATTGAAAGGATTTGGAACGTTTATAAATTTGAAAAATATTACTAAATTTTATTCACTGGGATTGTAACCACTTAGCCTCCTGCCAGCAATGTTAGATGTCTTAAAATGGAAATAGGCAAACATTTCTTAGGGCCTTAATTAGTAGCAAGTTAAATATGCAGGGAGATTGTATTTAGATGGTTGAGCTGAGTTCAGTTATAAAGCCACTAAAGTTCATTTTATTTTAGAGTGATTTTTCAGAAGGAAAATTTTCTGGTAAATTATTTAACTAAAATGGTAAATTACCAGCTGGGCTCGGTGGCTCACACTTGTAATCTTAGCACTTTAGGAAGCCAAGGCGGGCAGATCACAAGGTCAGGAGATCGAGACAATCATGGCTAACACAGTTAAACTCCATCTCTACTAAAAATATAAAAAATTAGGCAGTGACATGCACCTGTAGTCCCAGCTACTCGGGAGACTGAGGCAGGAGAATCAGTTGAACCCAGGAGGCAGAGGCTGCAATGAGCCGAGATGGCACCAGTGTACTTCAGCCTGGGTGACAGAGCTAGACTCTGACTCAAAAAAAACAAAAAAATTACCAAACTTTTTCTGTCTTTTTGAGACAGAATCTTGCCCTGTCACACAGACTGGAGTACAGTATCGTGATCTCTGCTCATTCCAACTTCTGCCTCCCAGGTTGAACCTCCAGCCTCTGGGGTTCAAGCGATTCTCCTGCCTCAGACTCCCGAGTAGCTGGGATTATAGGTATGTGCCACCACACCCAGCTAAATTTTTGTATTTTTAGTAGAGATGGGGTTTCACTATGTTGGCCTGGCTTGTCTCAAACTCCTGACCTCAGTTCTCCTGCCTCAGCCTCCTGAATAGCTGAGACTATAGGCACGTGCATACCACACTCAGCCAATTTTGTATTTTTAGTAGAGATGGGGTTTCACCGTGTTGGCCAGGCTGGTCTGGAACTTCTGACCTCAGGCAATCTGCCTGCCTCAGCCTGCCAAAGTGCTGAGATTACAGGTGTGAGTCACCGCACCCCGCCCTTTTTCTCTTCTTCCTTGTATCCACAGCACATTTCTGAATAGATGTTCAAAGATGGTTATCCTATTCAGTGCATATAGAAACAGTGTTCTGTTAGATATTTTCATTCCTGATATATTTTTTTTGAGACGGAGTCTAGTACTGTTGCCCTGGTGGTGTGCAGTGGCACTGTCTCAGCTCACTGCAACCTCCAGCCCCTGGGTTCAAGCAGTTCTCCTACCTCAGACTCAGGAGTAGCTGGGATTATAGGCATGTGCCACCACGCCCAGCTAATTTTTGTATTTTTTAGTAGAGATGGGATTTCACTGAGTTGGCTAGGCTGGTCTCGAACTCCTGACCTCAAGTGATCTGCCTGCTTCGGCCTCCCAAAGTGCTGGGATTACAGGCATGAGCCACCATGCCTGGCCTTTCCTGATATTTTTATTAAGATTTCTTTTAAAATTGTGTACATGTACATGAATATTTATAAATGGGTTGGGGTTTTTTTTGTTTTCTTTTGGTTTTTTGTTGAGACGGAGTCTCTCTCTGCTGTCAGGCTGGAGTGCAGTGGCACAATCTTGGCTCACTGCAACTTCTGCTTCCTGGAGTCAGGCAATTCTCCTGCCTCAGCCTCCTGAGTAGCTGGGA